GGCGGGGCCGGGCCATGGGGGACGGAGCCGTCCGCAGCCGCCGGAGCCCGGAACCCAACCAGAGCCGGAGCAGAGCCCCCTGCTGAGCCCCGAGCGCCGGGTGAGAGGAGGGCGCGCGCAGCCCCCAACCCAGGGCCCCGAGATTCCAGACCCAGTCCCGGGAGGGGCACCCCGAGCGCGGCCCCAAGATCCCAGCCCAGGACCCGGTGAGGCGCTGGCGGCCAAACTCTGGCCTGGCTTTACTCCCACCCCACCCCCATCCCTCGACTCCCTTTCGGGGCTTCTATGCCCGCCCCCAGCCAGCCTTCCTCATTGTCCTCGCTCGCCCTGGCCTCATGGCGCGAGGAGGCGCTCCATTCACGTTTCTCCTTTGCCTGGGTCCCCCGCCTCACATTCACTTCCCCAATCCACGGCCCCCCTCCCGCCCCCGCCAGGTTCCACACCCACCGGGTCTTGGCAGCCTCCCCCGTCGTGGGGTGCCACGTGTTCAGGCCGCCCAGGCTTCCAGCCCCACCCAAGCGCACCCCTCAGCCTGGCGGCCAGTCTGACCCACAACCCCTGGCCCAGAGGAAGGGGCGGAATGTTTGCACGTGGGTCTGGGTGTGAGCTGGCCGGGAACCTGTATGTATGATTGTGTAAGTCCAGGAGCAGGGGCTTTCTGTTTGAGTATGTGACTGTGTGTGTTACTGTCACCCAGGTGTGTGTCTGTGACTGTGTAGTTTTTTGTGTATCTCTGTGTGTGGGTGACTACAGCTGGGACCAGGGCTGCCCGTGTGATTCTTTGTGAAACTCGCCTTGCTCCCTCAAGCACTGCCAGAAGTGCCCAGAAGTGGTTGCTGCTCTGTTGGAACTACACTGGAGCCATCGCCCAGGCGAGACCCCTCCCTGCCACTCTGAGTGCTATCTCCAGGGCCCAGGTGTCTTCCCTTCTCCAAATCAGAACCAGCAGTGCCTGGCAGGCCTCAGAGTGTTCCTTCCAGCCCCATGGGGGCTGGGCCTTCAGATCTTAGGTGAGGGGTGTCTCCAGCCCCACCCTATGTTTTGCTCTGTTGCTCCAGAGGGAAGGGATCCCATAGACATCCTGCCCATATGTGGGCTGCACTGGGTCACCTGGGTGCTCAGGTCAGGCCCACTTCCCAGCCTGGTCCCAGGTGGCCTAGCCTTCTTGCTCCTGGGATCTGCCTGATAAAACCACTTCCCATCTGAAAGGAGTGAATGAAGTCATAAGTATAAAGTGCGCCTGCATAGTAGGTGCCCATTGATGGTCTCTCTTCTCTAAACCAAGAATCCTTTGTTGAGAATGCTGCCTTGTGTGTCTGTTCTCTGGGGCACAGGTGCAGCAAATATGGGTCTGTGGGTAAACATACTTCCGTGTTTGGGAATGAGCCCAGTGTGATCAAAGTTCATGTGTTTGTGTACATGCTCCTTGGGAGTACATGGTGGAGTGTTTGTGGTCGTGCAGTAAGGGTATGTACCTGAGCATGAGGGTGCGTGAGGCTGTAGTGGTGGGTGTGTGAGAGAGGATGAGGAATGTAACTCTGTGCTTTAGTACTCAGGTGTGCCTTGAAATGTGTGAGTATTGAAGTGCCAGGGACTTGTGTCTACTTGTGGGTAGAATGTGAGAGCATGAGTATGGGGGGCATGAGCAGGTAAGTGTGAGGCTGAGGGTCCATGAGTGTGAGCAGCTGGGCTGGAGGTGGGTGGGTAGCCTTGCACATCCTGCCCTAACCTGTGGGGTCTGTTTCTTTTCTGCCTCTGCTTAGGCCAGCAGCCGGATGCCCGGGCCCATTGGGCCGGCCGGTGGCCGCCTGCGGGATGAGCAGGCTGCTGGGGGGGACGCTGGAGCGCGTCTGCAAGGCTGTGCTCTTGCTCTGCCTGCTGCACTTTCTCGTGGCCGTCATCCTCTACTTCGACGTCTATGCGCAGCACCTGGCCTTCTTCAGTCGCTTCAGTACCCGTGGCCCTGTTCATGCCCTCCACCCAGCTGCCAGCAGCAGCACCAACTGCTCTCGGCCCAACGCCACTGCCCCCAGCTCTGGCCTCCCTGAGGCCCCCAGTGCCCGGCCTGGCCCCACAGCTCCCATCCTGCCACCTTGTCCTGACTCACCACCTGGTCTTGGTGAGCCTGCAGGGTGGGGCCTGGTATAGGGGTAGGAAGAGGGTCTCACCAGTTTGTCTTGGGGAATGGAGTCTTCAGCCTTGGGAGTGCCAAGGGTCCAGGTCTGATGTAAGAGGCCTGTTCCTGGGGATTCCCTTGCCCACCCCCAGGCTGGGAGAGGGGCTGATCTCCCTGGATTCTGGCTAAGGCCCTGATTCCTACACCATCCTGCCTGCAGTGGGTCGACTGTTGATTGAGTTCACCTCACCCATGCCACTGGAGCGAGTGCAGAGGGAGAACCCAAGCGTGCTCCTTGGTGGCCGCTATGCACCACCCGACTGCACCCCAGCCCAGACGGTGGCAGTCATCATCCCCTTTCGACACCGGGAACACCACCTACGCTACTGGCTCCACTATTTGCACCCCATCCTGAGGCGGCAGCGGCTCCGCTACGGCATCTACGTTATCAACCAGGTGTGCCGTCTGTGGACCAGCTGGGCATTAGCCACCAGGGACACTGTGTGCATGTGTGGGTGTGCCTGTGTTGGTGGAGGGTGCAGGGGCCCATGTGCCTGTTGGTGCATTTGTAGGGTTAGGGACATTTGTGGGTCCACGTCTGCCTGTGGGTGTGGCCATATATGATAGGCATGTGGGGCACATGTGTGTTCTTGTGCACATAGGAAGGTTTGCGAGTGTGTGAAGGAGTATATATCCACATAATGTACATGCACACAGCAGGCGTGTGCATGTTCTCAGAAAGGAGTGGGCCCCATTGTCTACTGTAGGCAGGCCCCACTCCAGGGTGGAGTCCTGGGGTATGCTGGCTATGAGGGGCTGTCAAGGGCACCAAGGAGACGGAGAGTTAGATTCTGAAAGAGGGATGGAGCCTGCGGAGCCCTTAGGGGCATATGCAGCCTACAGCTAAGGCCAGGAGACTCAGTTCACCATCTAAGTCCTATTGTGGGCCTGGCTACTGGGGCCCAGAAAGGATGTGATGCAGTCCCTCCCTGCCTACAGAGGCTCCCAGACTTGGACGTGGATCCTTGTAGACTCCGGTAGGCTGGTAGGTGGCTGGAGCTAGAGCAGGGGGCCGTGGGAGCACAGATGCCTGGTCCTGCCCTGGGGCTGGGAAGTGATGGCTGAGATAGGACTGGAGAAGGCATATGCTCTAGGCAGAGGGACCTGGAGGACCCAGGGTCTAGAGGGACAGCTGGTCTGTGTGTTCGGGAACTGTTGGCTGAGGGGTGGGGTCTGCCATGTGGAATGGGTAGCAAAGATGAGGCTGGAGGAGCTGGCAGAGGCCAAATCAAGAAGGGTCTTGGGAGGCATGTTGAACAGTTGAGTTCAAGCCTGAAGGTGGTGGGGCACCATTGTTTCATGAAAGGAGTAATGCATTGTATTTGCTTTTAAAAATTGCTTTGATTGCATGTGGAGAACGGAATGGGAGGGGGAGACAAGAGGCAGGGTGACCAGTTACGAGGAGGTTGCGATGTCCAGAAAGGAGATGGTGAAAGTGATTTTAAGTACGGCAGTAGCTGTGAGGATGAGGGGAGAGATGTTATGCAAACGGTGGAAAGTGAGGAAAGACAGACGTAAGGCATCATGAGGGTCTCTGTCTTGGATGTTTGCTATGGGGATGGCTGCACCTCTGAGTGAGGTGGGGAACACGAGCTGGGGCAGGTCTGGGAGGTGTCTGGCTCTGAATTCTTTTCTGCATGTGATAAGTTTGAGTGCCTGTGGGAGGTATAGGAGGGAGTGTTTACTAGGCAAACAAATGAGTCTGGACCTAGGAGTGAGTTCTGAGCTAGAGAGGGATCTGGGAGCCCCCAGTATGTAGTGGTCCCTAAAACCAGCCATGTCTGACATGCCCAGGAAGCATGGGGCACGAGAGGAGGAAAGGCAGAGGAAGGAAGCTCAGAGAAAGCCAGCACTGAAGGGGATAAGTGGAGAAATAGAGGCCACCACAGGAGGCTGAGTAGATTGGCCAGAAAGGTCAGATCCAGGAGAGCGTGGTGTCCTGGAAACCCAGGAAAAGAGTGAGGAAGGAAGCCGTGGCAGCTGCATGAGCGCCGCCGGGGGAGTAAGGAGGGATGTGGACAAGAAACGTCCAATGGATTTAGCAACAAGGTGGGCCCAGAGAGAGCCATTTCAGGGGCATGGTGGGGGCGGGAGCAGATTGCAGTGGGTTGAAGAAGGAATCGGATCTGAAGAAATGGAAATAGCCAATTGGAGACAACAACTCTTAAAAAATCTCTGCTGAGAAGGCAAGGCAAAAGGTAGGGTGGTGGCTAGAGGGAAGTTTTTTGTCAGATGGGAAAGAACTGAGCACGTTTATGAACTGTGTGCGAGAAGCTCAGGCTCCTGGCTGGTGAGCGAGGTCAGAAAGGGTGCTTGTGAGCTGGGGAAGTGGACAGTCCCTCCAGGGGCTAGTGGGAAACAAAGTGCAGGAGAGGAAGGGAGGAGAGCTGGCAGGCCTGAGCAGCTCAGGGTTTCAGAGGGGAGCAGCTCCCACCCCTCCAGGCCCAGGCGTGCTGGTGTAGAGGAGGGGCCGCTATGCCTCTTGCTTCAGAAGGGCTCTGCTCTCCAAGACCTTCTCTCCAGGAGCATCTTTGGCTCGAGCTGGAGATCTTGGTCCAGGAGCCTTGTGCTCAGTCAGTGCTGCACGGCCAGGATCCCTGCCTCAAGACAACCTGCCTCTGCAGCCCAATTTCTCAGGAGACCCAGGCTCCCTGCGTTGGGACTGATAATAGGCGTGTACTGATTTTTGTTATGGGGGAGACAAGTGACTTATCCCAGTCCTGTCTTGGTGTCTGTGGCTACCCAGGGAGTTGGAGGTGCCTGAGCTCAGTGCCCTCAGTCCCCATTGCTTCTGCGTCTTAGACATTGGTCATGTGGGGTTCCCTAGGATCCCCACTGCCAGGCCTGGCACAAAGGAGAGTGCCACAGAGCACGTTTGAATGAATGAATGAGAGCTCTAAGTAACGACTTAAATGGAGATTGGCATAAATGAAGCACATAGCGAGGAATGAATAGTTATGCTGGGGCAGAGGCTGAAGGTTTTTCAGGGAAATCTGTGTTATTACTATTTTTTAATCATATTTTATTGTTTTAGGTGAAAGTTTACACAGCAAACTAGGTTCCCCTTTAACAGTGTTTATACAAATCTTACAAATTGTTTCATGCCGTTGGTTACAATTTTCACAGTGTGTTCACATTCTCATTATTTCCATTCTGTTTGTTCTGTTTCCATTGATGTAGCTTCCCTTCCCCTCCTTGCCTTTTCATCTTTGCTTTTGGGTAAGTGTTGACCATTGTGTCTCATATAGTTAATTGTTTAAGGGAGCACATTTCTCATGGGTGATAATTGTTTATTTTATAGGACAATCTGTTATTTGGCTGAAAGGTGACGTACAGAAATAACTTCAATTCCAAGTTCAAAGCGTATCTTAGGGGATAGTCTTAGGGGTTCCTCTAGTCTCTACTGGTCCAGTAGGTCTGGCCTTCTTTAGGAATCTGAGTTTTGTTCTACATTTTTCTCCCATTCCATCCGGGACCTTCCATTGTATTCCTGGTCAGAATGCTCAGTAGTGGTAGCCGGGAACCATCTAGTTCTGGTCTCAGGTTAGAAGAAGCTGTGGTTCGTGTGGGCTGTTAGTCCTGTGGACTAATTTCTTCGTTGAGCCTTTGATTTCCTTCATTCTCTTTTTTTCCATATGAGTAGAGATCAATAGTTGTATCTTAGATGGCTGCTCACAAGCTTTTAAGACCCCAGACACTACTCACAAAAATAGGATGTAGAGCATTATCTTTGTGAACTGTATTATGCCAAAGGACTAAGTTTTCCCCTGAGACTATGGTCCCGAGCCATTTGACCCAGTAAACGAATCCTGTGAGTTGTTTGATGTCTAGGAAGCCTCCATAACTATGCCCCCTTTGTGGTTTGTTATATACGTGAATATATACGCAGCACACACAAATGTGTATATACATATGCCTACAGATAACCTATACGTGCACATGCATTTATTCACATATGCCTACCTGTACACTTACATACATCCATATCTACCTACATAACCACACACATATTTTTTGGTTGTTTTTACTGTTGTTGCAAAATTGTATGTTATACCATTTACTGAAATTGTTCCTTTTTCTCATATCCTTCTTAGTGTCTTTATTTACGTTGGTCAAGTTGTGCTGACTTTACCCATGCTTAGGATTGCCTTTCCCATCACCAAAAGTAACAAGTGTCTACGATCTAGAAAGTGATTCCCCCTCCTTCTCCCTCCCATACCTGGTAACCATCAAAGAACTTTGATATTTGTGTGTATATCTATTCTTGACTTTTTATAATAGTGGGATTATAAAGTATTTGTCTTTTTATGATTGACTTATTTCACTCAGCATAATGTCCTCCAGATTCATCCATGTTATGTTTCATGGACTCCTCATTGTTCTTTATAGTTGCGTAGTATTCCATTGTACATACTACAATTTGTTTATCCATTCATCTGTTGATGGGCGCTTTGGTTGTTTCCATCTTTTTGCTATTGTGAATAATGCTGCAGTGAACACAGATGTGCGTATGTCTAGTCATGTCAATGCTTTTATATCTCTAGGATATATACCTAGGATTGAGATTGCTGTATCATAAGGTATTTCTGTTTCTAGCTTTTTGAGGAAATGCTGCATTGTTTTCCATAGTGGTTGTACCATTTTACAATCCCACCAACAATGTAAAAGAGTTCCAATCCCCTCACAACCTCACCAGCATTTGTGTTTTTTTGATCATTGCCCCATTTTTGTAGGGATGAGATGGTATCTCATTGTAGTTTTGATATACATTTGTCTGATGGCTAATGATCTTGTGCATCTTTTCATGTGTTTGTTGGCCTCCTTAATATCGTGTTTGGTGAAGTGTCTGTTTATGTCCTTTGCCCATTTTTTGATTGGATCATGTCTTTTTGTTGAGTTGTTGAAGTTTTCTATGTATTTTAGAGATTAGACCCTTATCATATATGTCGTTGCCAAAGATTTTTTCCCAGCCTCTAGGTTTTCTTTTTACTGTCTTGATAAAAGTCTTTTGATGAACATAAGTGTTTAATTTTTAGGAGGTTCCCGTTATCTCATTTATCTTCTGTCATTCATGCATTTTTAGTTACGTTTGATAGGCTATTTATGCCAAAAATTAGGTCCCCTAGTTTTGACCCTATGTTATCTTCCAGGAACTTTATAGTTTTAGCTTTAACATTTAGGTCTTTGATCTGTTTTGAGTTAGTTTTTGTGTGTGGTGTGAGGTATGGATCCTGATTCGTTTTTCTGCATATGGATATCCAGTTTTGCTGGCATCATTTGTTAAAGAGACTGTTTCTTCCCCATTGAATGGACTTTAACCCTTTGTCAAAGATCAGCTGCCCATGTAGATGGATGGATTTACTTCTGGGTTCACAGTTCTGTTCCATTGGTCTGTGTGTCTGTCATTGAACCAGTACCAGGCTGTTTTGATTACTGTGGCTGTATAGTAAGTTTAGAGATCAGGAAATGTGAGGCCTTCTACTTTGTTGTTCTTCTTCAATATTGTTTTAGCTGTTGGGGTCCTCGTTCCCTTCCATATAAAGTTGGAGATTAGTTTTTTAAAGAATATTGTTGGGGTTTAGAATGGGATTGCATTATATCTATAGATCACTTTTGGTAGTATTGACATTTTCACATTAAGTCTTCCAATCCGTGAGCTTGGAATGTTTTTCCATTTATGTATATCATTTTTAGTTTTTTGCGGTAGTGTTTTTTAGTTTTCCTTATATAAATCTTTTATGTCCCGGGCTAGGTTTATCTCTAGGTATTTTTTCCTTTTGGCGGCTGTTGTAAATAGTATAGATTTATTTAAAAAAAATTTTTTTTTTATTGTACTTTAGGTGAAGGTTTACAGAACAAGAAGTTTCTCATTAAACAGTCAGTACACATATTGTTTTATGACATTGGTTAACAATCCCACGACATGTCAACACTCGCCCTTCTCGACCTTGGAGGACCTTTTTTTTTTTGGTGAAAATATGCATAGCCAAAGATAAACCATTTAAAAAATTTTTGCATGTACAATTCAGTGACATCAATTATGTTCTTCCAGTTGTGCTGCTATTCTCACTTTAGATGAAGGTTTACAGAACAAAGTAGTTTCTCATTAAGCAGTTAGTACATATATTGCCCTATGACAAAAGTTAACAACCCCACTACATGTCAACACTGTCCTTACTCAACCTTGGGTTTCCTGTCACCAGTTTTCCTGTGCCCTTCTGCCTTCTAGTCCTTGTCCCTGGACTGCTGTGCCTCGTTAGTCCTGTTTTGTTTTACAGGGCTGTCCAATCCCCGGCTGAACGGTGAACGTCGGGAGTGACTTCACCACTGAGCTAAAGGGGTGTCCAGGGGCCATACTCTCGGGGTTTCTCCAGTCTCTGTCAGGCCAGTGAATCTGGTCTTTTTTTGCGTGTTAGAATTTTATTCTACATCCTTCTCTAGCTCTATCCAGAACTGTCTGTTGTGATCCCGGTCAGAGCAGTCAGTGGTGGTAGCCGGGCACCATCTAGCTGTACTGGACCCAGTCTGGTGGAGGCCTTGGTAGCTGTGGTCCATTAGTCCTTTGGACTAATCTTTTTCCTTGTATCCTCTTCTCTTCATTCTTCCTCGCTCCCGAGAGGGTGAGACCAGTGGAGTATCTTAGATAACTGCTCACAATACGCTTTTAAGACCCCAGACACTACAAGGTAGAATGTAGAACATTGTCTTTATAAACTGTGTTGTGCCGATTGAGCTAGATGTTCCCTGAGACCGTGGTCCCCACAGAGTATTGATTTATTGATTTGCTTTTCAGAGTCCTTGTTAGTGTAGAGGAGCCCAACTGATTTTTGTGTGTTGATCTTGTACCCTGCCACTTTGCTGAATTCTCCTGTTAGTTCCAGTAACTTTCTTGTGGAGTCTTTGGAATTTTCTATGTGTAGGATCATGTCATCTAAGAATAAGTATAGTTTTACTTCTTCTTTTCCAATTAAAAAAAAAACCTGTTGCCATTGAGTCGATTCCGAGTCAGCGACCCTATAGCCTTTATTTCCCTTTCTTGCTTTATTGCTCTAGCTAGGACTTCCAGTACAATATTGAATAAGAGTGGTGATAAAGGACATCCTTGTCTCCTCATTCTCAAAGGGAATAATACTCTCAATCTTTCTCCACTGAGGATAATATTGACTGTCTGTTTTCCTATATGCCCTTAATTGTGTTGAGGAATTTTCTTCTATTCCTGTTTTGCTGAGAGTTTTTATCAGGAAAGGGTGTTGGATTTTATCAGTTACCTTTTCTGTGTCAATTGAGGTGATCATGTGATTCTTTTCTTTTGTTTTATGTATGTGGTAGATTGCATTGATTGATTTTCTAGTGTTGAACCAACCTTGATCATGACGTATTATTTTTTAAATACGCTGTTGAATTTGTTAGCTAGAATTTTGTTGAGAATGTTTGTGTCTATATTCATGAGGGATATTGGTCTATAATTTTCTTTTTTAGAGTGTCTTTGCCTGGCTTTGATATCAGGGTTATGCTGGCTTCATAGAAAGAGTTAAAGGAGTATTTCTCTCTTATGCTCTGGAGTAGTTTAATTAGAATTGGTGTCAGCTCTTCTCTGAATGTTTGGTAGAATTCTCCAGTGAAGCTATCTGGGCCGGGGCTTTTTTTTCGTTGGGAGTTTTTTTTATGACATCTCCAATTTCTTCTTTTGTTATGGGTCTGTTCAAATTTTCTACTTCTGTTTGTGTTAATTTAGGTAGGTAGTGTGTTTCTAGAAATTTGTCCATTTCTTCTAGGTTTTCAAATTGTTGGAGTAAAGTTTTTCATAATATTCTGTTATGATTCTTTTTGTCTCATTTGGTTCTGTTGTAATGTGAGCCATCTCATTTCTTATTTTGGTTATTTGCATCTTCTCGTTTTTTTCCTTTGTCATTTTGGCCAGTAGTTTGTCAATTTTATTGGTTCTCTTAACGAGCCAATTTCTTGTCTTGTTGATTTGGTTGTTTTTCTGTTTCATTTATTTCTGCTCAGATCTTTATCATTTCCTTTCTTCTGGTGACTGTGGACTTCTTTTGCTGCTCCTTTTCTACTTGTTTGAGTTGTAGGGTTAAGCTATTGATTTTGGCCCTTTCTTTTTTCTTTCAGTTTTTCATTCAAAAAATTTTACACAAATTGTTTTGTGACATTGGTTGCAATCCCAACCATGTGACAGCACTCTCCCTTTACACCCTGAGTTCCCTGTGTCCATTAGTCCAATTTTCCTGTCTCTTGCTGCCTCTTCCTGTGTCTTTGCTTTTGGGCAGGTGTTGCCTATTTGGTCTCATATACTTCATTGAACTAAGAATCATGTTCTTCACATGTGTTACTGTTTGTCCTATAGGCCTGTTCAATCTGTGGCTGAAAGGTGGGCTTTGGGAGTGGCTTCCATTCTGAGTTAGCACGGTGTCTAGGGTCTATAGTCTCAGGGCTCCTGTCAGACCAGTAAGTCTGGTCTTTTCTTGTAAATTTGAATTTTGTTCTACAATTTTCATCCGCTCTGTCTGGGACCCTCTATTGTAATCCCTGTTGGAACGGTCGGTGGTGGTAGCCAGGCACCGTCTAGTTCTTCTGGGCTCAGGCTGGTGAAGGCTGTGGTTCATGTGGTCCTTTCTTCTTTTTTGATGTGTGCATTTATTACTATAAATTGTCCTCTGAGCCCTGCTTATGTTGTGCTTTCATTCTCATTTGATTCTAAGAATATTTTAATTTCATTTTTAATTTCTTCTGTTGCTAAGCAGTTTTTAAGTAAGGTGTTATTCAGTTTCCATGTATTTAATTTTTTTCCCTGTTCTTTCTGTTACTGATTTCTAGTTTTATAGCATTATGATCAGAGAAGATGCTTTGTATTATTTTGATGTTTTTAATTTATTAAGGCTTGCTTTGTGGCCTAAAATGATTTATTCTGGAGAATGATCCATGTGCATTGGAGGAGAATGTGTACTGTGCTGCTGTTTGGTGGTGTGTTCTGTATATGTCTGTGAGGTTGAGTTGGTTGAGGAAAGCCTTTCTAAGCATGAGTTTGACAAGCAGAGAAGAAAAGTATGCTGAGCAGGAGGAACTGCTATCAGCAAGGCCTGGAGACAAGAAAAGGTCTGTTGTATTCTGTGGCTGCTGAAGAATCATGGCTGGCCCTTAGGGTTTGGGGGCAGTGGCCACAGAGGAGGCTGGAGTAGATGATGAAGGCCTTCAAAGGTCAGGTCCAGGTTTAAGAGCTGGACTTGATCCTGAGAGTCTAGGGGAGCCATGCAGACAGACAGGGGGCTAGGCCCTCTGGGGGTCGATAGGGAGGGTGGTCACAGGCCCCCTCTCCAGAGGGGCCCAGAGCTGACCTGTCCCTTCCCCCACCCCAGCATGGTGAGGACACCTTCAACCGGGCCAAGCTGCTCAATGTGGGCTTCCTAGAGGCATTGAAGGAAGACGCCTCTTATGACTGCTTCATCTTCAGCGACGTGGACCTGGTCCCCATGGATGACCGCAACCTGTACCGCTGTGGCGACCAGCCTCGCCACTTCGCCATTGCTATGGACAAATTTGGCTTCCGGTGAGGGCTCTGTTTTTAACTGGACCCAGACCTTCCCACCCCCACCTCCCCAACTACCCTCACCATATCCAGGCGTTCATTCCCAGCCCCAGGGCCCACCCGCTTTGCCCCTGGCCCCGACCTTCTGGCTGGGCCAGATTCTTCCCAGTGTCCCCTGTTGAACATTCTCCACTCACACCATCTGTGGTCCTCTTGGAATCTCCTGGGGACCTTCACTGATGCCTGCCTTTCATGCCATAGGCTACCCTATGCTGGCTACTTTGGAGGTGTGTCAGGCCTGAGTAAAGCCCAGTTTCTGAGAATCAATGGCTTCCCCAACGAATACTGGGGCTGGGGTGGTGAGGATGACGACATCTTCAACCGGTGAGTACGGAGGGGTGGAGAGTAGACTCGTTGTGTGAAGGGGTCAGGTGCAGACTGGGTGGGGCTCCTCGCCCTTCCTGGTGCCTGCTCCAGTCCGTCTGTCCCCGTCCCCAGGATCTCCCTGACTGGGATGAAGATCTCGCGCCCAGACATCCGAATAGGCCGCTACCGCATGATCAAGCACGACCGGGACAAGCATAATGAACCCAACCCTCAGAGGTGACCCCCCCCGGGTCCCCTGATCCCAAGTGCCCCTAGCCCCTTATCCCCTAGAGGTGACCTCCCAGTATCTCCAACTCTTGACCCCAAGTGCCCCGAATCCCTGACTCCCTAGAGGTGGCCTCCGAGCATCACTGACCTTAGAGGTGACCTCTCAGCACTCCTGACCCCCAGTGCCACTGACACCTGAGAGGTGATTCTGATCCCCAGATGTGACCCCCAAGGCGCCTGATCCTTGACTCCTAGAAGTGACATCTGGCACCCCTGACCCTGTTCCCAGAGGGGACCCCCAGCTCAGCCTGAGTCCCAGATATCTCTTGCCCCTGATTCCTTGAGGTGGCTGAATGATTGAAGGCAGGGCTCACATTGTCACTGAGAAGACTACATTCCCATCAGTGCCCTCACAGACCTCACTTGTGCACCTTGCATGAACCCTGCTTATAGTGGCCCTCCCAGAGTAGCTAGAACAAGAGAGTGGGCGCTGAGCACACCTCCTGGACCTAGGGACACTGACAAAGGCCCGAACAGCATGGGGCGGGGAGTAGAAAGACAGTGGTGACCCCATGATTGGAGGAGGTGGCCCCATCGCTGAGGACGTAGCAGCGTTTCGTGTCTAGTCCCTGGCTGGGATAAGTGCCTAAAAGGCATGTAAAATGTTGACAGGGGCTTCCTGACACTGCTCTGTGCCTGTTGGGTGCCAAGCCTTGTGGAGAGGGAGGGGCCCGGAGCAGTCATATCTAATCCCTGCTATCTGTCATGAAGTTCATTCAAGGGAGGGAGAGGCGCGGTTACAGAACAAGGTTATCAGGGCAGGGTGCTGTCCTGGCAGAAGAGGGAGTGATGGTGGGAGGCTTCCTGGAGGAGGTGATGGTAAACTGGGGTTTGAAAAGTGTCATTCGTTCAACCAATATTTGTCGAACACTTACTTTGTGCACAGGGCTAATAGTGGAGACCAGTTTAGATAAAGGGAATAGTATTGTAAGAATCTGGAATATGAATGGTATACGCCAAGAGTATTAAACTGTTTGGTTTTAAGATCTCTGAAGATAAAAGACTGGGAGTGACAGGAGAGGGGGTCAGGGCTGGGTGTTATGGGTCTTGAATCCCAGATGCAAGTTTGACTTTTGTCCCAGGGGTAATGGGAAGTCATGGAAGGGCTTTACACAGGGAAGAGAGAGGATCAGATTTGTGTTTAGAAGGATTGCTCTTTGAACTTGAGGGAGGTGAAGGTCTGGCCTAGCTGGTAGTGAAGCAGGAAAGGAAGCAGACCAGGCCTGAAGGGAAATGGATGGGGTGCTGGGGGCATGCTGGGTAAGGACCCGGGAGGCTGCTGCACCCCCAGCTTGAAGAGTAGGGTTTCTCTGCTCTCAACCCAGGGTGTAGCAGTGGGGAAGGTGGATTGCAGCTGTTGTAGGGTTGGTATTTGCCAGAAGCATGAGGCACAGGGGAGTTCAGGGAGCTGAAGAAAATGCAGTTCAGATGAAAACCATGGTGAGCAGGGAAGGCATGACAGACTGGGAGGAGAGGGGCTTCAGGGCATCTGAGGGAGGATGCGCAGTATTGGGATGGCTCAGGAGAGGGATCCAAGCTGAGCATAAAAGGATAGAGTGGATCCAAACAGTTGGGATGAGGGTGGGAGTGGAGCTCTTCTCTAGAAGCACATGTCAGGAGCCTGGGTCCTGTTTTGGGAGTAGCATGTCTGGGTGCCATCATCCCTTAGTAATGTCTGCCTTGGGTGTAGAAATGGCAAGATAGCCTTCAGTGTCTTGCTTGAGGGACTCTGTGGATGGTTCCATCTACCTAGGTGCTTTTGCCTCAAATCTAGGAGTTCTCCTGGATTCTTCTTCCCTCACCCTACATGTCCAGTCCAGCAAGTCCTGTTGGTGCCACCCCAAAAACATCTGAGCCCATCCACTATTCGCCTTTACTACCTCTACCCTAGTCTAACCTCTGTGATCTTGCCTGGACTACTACTGCAATGGCCTCTAACTGGTTTCCCAGCTTCCCCTTGTCCTTCTATACTCCATGCCCCCCAACCCTTGCTCCCAACTGAGTTGAAGCTCCCAGCTGGGTTAAAAATCCCTCAGTGTCATCTTCTTACTCACAGAATAAAATATGAGCTGCTTACTCTGACTTACAGAGCCCTGCCCTTACAGGCTTACCCTCCAAGCTCATCTTGTTCTGTTTTCCCCCTTGGTCCATTAAACTCTAACTACACTGATCCCCTCAGCTGTGCAAAATCTCATTCCTCATTTAGGGTCTTTGAAGGTGCTCTGCCTGGAGTCTCTTCCCGTGGCTGTAAACTTGATGTCACACGCTCACCCCTTCCAAAGCAGCCATCTTGGTACTCCCAATCATCTCTCTCAATTGTCCCTGCATATATATAGTGTTTAGCACTCAGGGTTTCCTTGTTTGTTACCTGTCTGTCCAAGTGAAGAAGACTCACTGTGAGAGGAAGGACTTGCCCGACTGTCTGTCCATGGCTGTTTCCCTGGTGCTGAGAGCAGATCCTGGCACATGGGGAGTGCTCAGTGAAGAGATGGTGAAGGAGTGACAGGGATGAGGAACTGAGAAGATAGTATGGGGTTGGAGAGTAAAGATGATGCATCCAGTATACGACATGTTGCATTTGGGGTGCCTTTGGGATGCCCCACGTTTGGGTCTAAGGCTTAGAAGAAAGGTCTATGAGAAATGTTTGCTAGAAGTAATGACTGAAGTGGATGAGATCTCCATTTTGAGGGCAGATGCAAGAGCAAAGAGCCCCAGGCAGGTGGAGGGAGGAAGGTATGGCAAGGAGAACGGAGTCACCCCTAGAATGACTTGAGCCTTTGCCCCAGAATTTCCATATTGGGTTCAGTGGTTAGCTGTGTCCCCACACTAGCCTTGACTTGGTCCACTTCCATCCTATCTAGGTTTACCAAGATTCAAAACACGAAGCTGACCATGAAGCGGGACGGCATTGGATCAGTGCGGTACCAGGTCTTGGAGGTGTCTCGGCAACCACTCTTCACCAATATCACAGTGGACATTGGCCGGCCCCCATCATGGCCCCCTCGGGGCTGACACCAATGGACAGAGGCTCCCAGTACTGAGGACTGCCTGCCAGAGGACTGACCTACAGCCTGGCTGGTGGCTGAGAGGGTGGCTAAGGGAGCCCTGAGGACTGAAACTGTGGGCCCTGTTTTCTGAAGGGCTTCAACAGGCCCCCCATCTGCACCTGGAAGTTTCAGAACCCACTTTGGGGGCTTCCAGCCTGGGCTGGCCCCTCAAGTGTGGCCCTCTCTGGGGTCAACCCTCTCTCCTGCCCCTCCCTCCCAGCCTAGTCCCCCTCACTGTCAGGGTTGGGCCAGCCCCTGCACTGCCTCGTTGAGTGGCCTGGGCTAGGTCACTCCACCTCTCTGTGCCTCAGTTTCCCCTCCCCTTGAGTCCCCTAGGGCCTGGAAGGGTGGGAGGTTTGACTAAGGGGCAGTGTCTCTCTTCCAGGGGGAATCCTCAGACCTGGGGATCCCCCATGCTTCCAGGGGAGGGGAAACCTTTTACATTCAACATTGTAGGGAGCAAACTTTGGTGTGCCCCCTGTTGAGGAGTAGCCCCAGAAGGGGACCAGAGGGGATGCTGTGTTGCTGCCTGGGATCTTGGGGTCGGGCTTTGCATGGGGGGGCGGGTGGGGTTTGGATCAGTCCGTCTGGTTCCCGCCTCCCTGTCTCAGAGGAGGCAGTAGCCCCAGGGCCGGCTCGTGTTTGTACATTGCACAGAAATTTGTGTGGGTGCTTTAGTAAAAAACGTGAATGGAGCAGCCCCCTTGTCTGTTTTGAGATGGGATCTGGGTCTCTGAACCCAGTTATCCTGGGTATATTATTGCGAGGAGAGCCCCTGGTCCAATGTACAATCGCTGCTCGGGTTCCCCACGCTGTTCTGGACTGCCATCGGCCACAGAGGAAAGGTTTACGCGGCTGCTGCCTGTAAACCCAGATTTCTCGGTTCTTCCACGCGCCCGGGAAGCCCGTTGCGCCTCGAGGCCGAGAGGTGGCCAAGGGTGAGCCCAAGATGTTTGGCGTAAGGGCCGTGGGGGTGGTTCGGTCCCTAGTACCACCCACACCCGCAGAGGGTGCTAGCTTCCTGGGGACCGGCACCGCCCTCCCGGCCCGGAATGGGCATGGGCGGGGCCTCGGGGCGCGGCCTCTAGGGGCGGGGCTGCAGTGCGGTACGGTTTCCCAGGTGACAGCCGCGCGGCAGGGGCGGGGCCGGGGTCCTGGCTCCAGTGCCCAGAACCCGCGGGCCGTGGCCGGAAACGGTGGCCCCCGAGAGACTGGCGGAAGCAGGACAAGGGAAGAGGCAGCACCGGAGCCTGGGGGCTCTGGACCCGGTAATTCCGGCCGTGGGCATTGGTGGCAGAGCAAAGGCGGCGCTTGAGAGGGGCTGGCGTGTACCGACGGTGGGGGCGTGGCCCGTGGGGTCAGGGAGGGTGGGGCGTGGCCCGAGCCGTGTGCAGCCGGCGTCTGCAGGCATTCCAGCGCCCTGACCGGCTGTCGCGTAGGTCCGAGACTGGGGCCGTGCGTTTGGGCGCGGCGGCGCGGGCAGGCCATGCACCAGGACTCCGTGTCGCTGTGGCAGCTAGTGGAGGAGCATATTCCGCTCCCGGAGCGGCCCGAAGTGAAGAGGATCCTTGGGGAAGCGGCGGTGGACCTGAGCCTGGAGCTGCGGGCGGAGGTGGGGAGTGGGAAGATGGGCAACGCCCCAGAGCTGCCCCACGACCCGTGTGTCGTCCACACTTCTTCCAGTGCCTACCCCTGCCGGGTAACTCCTGAGACCTTGTTGGGTCTCACTGCCACACCTCCGCCCCCCTGCAGTTTTACACTCCCCACCCACACCCTCGCCAGCCACCTCCCTCCCCAGCACAACAATCCCAGCTCTTCTTGTAGTTGGCGATGCTGTGGGAACTGCTCCAGGAGGCTCGGTCCTCCCAAACCTCTGGCTCCTGTCCCACTTCCGACCCCTGCTCCCTTCTGGCACCACCGCTGCTTCTAAGGGACCTTGTGCGCCAGGAACTCCGCCAGCTGCTCCAAGGTCTCCGCCACAAGGCCATCTGTGAGGGCAGGTGGGAGCTTTAGACTTTGGGCTGGGCCCCTGTCCCTGACAGGGAGTCAGGGTGGCCTTTCCCTGTGGTCTCCTGGAAGGCGCCCTTCCGCTTCCTTCATGTGCACCTTCTGCAGGGACCAGGCCCAGGCTTGGGTCCAGTATAGCCCCAGGGTCATACGCTTTGCCTTGGAGGAGCCCAGATGTGATTCTCCAGAGCAGAGGATACTTGCAATGAGAGCTGGTGAACCCAGGTAAAGTGGTGATAGGAGAGGAGGGATCTGTTCCTGCTTGGCAGAGAACCCCAGCCAACTGGTGGTTCCTCTTTTACTCCGTGGAGGAGCTCCCAGAGTGGGGCTAGACACTTTTACAGCCCCCTGTGGTAGGGGTCAGCACCTGAGAGCTGTAGAATGCCAGGGTAGACAGCTGCCCAACGTGGGGACGGACAAGGCTTCCAGAGAAAGTCGCTGGTTTGATCTGGGTCTTGGAATATGAGGAACAGTTTTTCCAGGAAACTATCTGGTTTGATCTGGGTCTTGAAGTATGAAAGAGAGAAGATCTTTGCAGGAAGAGGGAGCACAATATGCAAACACAGGTAGGAGGAAAAGAGGCCTGTCTGGAGGGCAGTTGTTCCTAAGGCCTGGAGAGCAGGAGCAGGGCTGGGCTGAAGAGTCAGGGAGAGCAGAGGGGAGAAGGTGGCAAATGGATTTACAGCCAAGAGACTGAATGAGAGAAATTAATCTGAGCTTGTAGCAGTAAGAAGTGGGTGGTGGCAACTTCTTATTTCTAACACTCACACGACCCTATCAGGAAGGTGATGTCCCCATTTTGCAGATGAGGAAACCATAGCTCAGAAAGGATAAATGATTTCCGCAAGTTCATACACAGTGAAGGGTAGCAGAGTCCACTTTCAAACACAGGCTAGAGAATTGCTATTCTTTGCTCGATATTATGTTGCTTTTGTTAGAAAAGACATAAAATTGTCTAGGGGAAGTAGTGGTTGTGTGCTGAAGACCTGGGATGAGGCCGCATGAGGAGAGTGATGTTGACTTCATCTGCCAGCAGCAGCCACAGAGACCTCAGTATCATCAGGGACCAACTGAACGTGTCTGACATCGACCAGGTTGCCGGGCACCTGCGGTGAGGCCCAGGGACCCCAGAGTGTGTGTGTAGGTGGAGACAGGGAGGATGGGACTGGGGATGGATTTTGAAGCACTTGGACTGTGAGAGAGGAGAAGGGAGGAAGCATTCTGGTGGAAGTCAGGTAAGGAAGGCCGAAAGATGGAAAGAGCATGTGGCTGTGGAGCCAGTCAGTGAGGTTGGTACCAGGAAGTAGCCAGCTACGATGCTAGCAGGGGCCATGATCCTAGGATTTATTTTTATTTTCATACAGTAGGGAGTCACAAAGGGTTTTAAGCCGAGGAAGAAGGGCTGTGGTGTAGAGGGAGAATGAAGGCGAGAAGAGTCCAAGGCTCAGTGCAACAGTGTAGAAAGGATGGGGCCTGCTGGTGTGGGGGCTTGAGGTGGGTGAGGAGAAAACACATCTGCACAGGAAGAGGCTAGTGGGGGCCAGACAGCTGGGCAGCAGGGCAGCACCCAGGCAGCAGAGGGCCATGTGGGCTGAGAAAGGAGGGGCTGGGTGGCGGGGGGGGGGGACCCTGATGAGGCTGGAGGGAGGGGCTGTGGGGCAAGGCTGCTCTGCTCAGCTGAGACACCACCCCATGGCTGGCTTCCCCACTCCTTCATGTCCCAGGGGCCTCCTAGAGCAGGAGTGTCGTAGCTTGGAGAGGGACATCTCCGTCCTGCAGGTGAGTTGCAGCCTGGGCTTTTCCCCCAAGACCTTTCTGCTGTGCACAGAACACACGCCTCTCACCTGGTTGTATGAGACCCATGTACATATGTATTTGTGTACGTATGCGCATGTAAAAGTTGTGTGAATCTCATGTCTGTTTCTCTTATGTGCATGCTTCTCTGTGTGTGTGTGTGTCTGTGTGTGTCTGTGTCTGTGTGTGTGTGTGGTGTGTGTGTGTTAGTTTTAGAAGCCCAGGATTGTGGTTGAGTCCCTAAGTCCACGGTCAGCAGTTATAGATTAACCTGCTAGATTTGCCTCAGGTCTTACCTCCTTCTCTTAGCTCGGTCTGGGTATAGGCCTAGCCCCAACCTCGCCAAGCTCAGCTTTTCAGTGGGGCTGGCATTCCCCATGGGGGGCTACCTTCATGGTGGTTGGAATGGGGTGGCTTCATAGGCTGGTTCCTCAGGGCAGCCTTTGTGTCCTGGACCCTGCCCTAGAGACCTCGCCTCTGTATTCTTCCCTACTCCATCTCTGCCTGCAGGGCTGCCTGGAAGAGGAATACACGCGGGCTTCCCAGCCCCTGGAAACAGCCCTAGAGCCCACACTGGCAGGTGAGGCCCCTGAGCAGGCCCCTGCCCCACATTTGTGCACACCCTAGAAGAGCTGGACAGTGGTGTCTCAGATGTGCCTCTCCCTACAGAGCTACAGGAACAGAAGAAAGTCATGGAACGGGACCTGAAGGCCCCTCTGGGGCCCTCCTCTGTCTCCCCCAGCCACAGGTAAACCAAAGCAGGTGGATGCCCAGGCAGGGTGGGCTGAAGTGTTGGGCCAACCCCTCACAGCTACTCCTTCTTATCCAGGCAGCAGCTGTCGGGCCGGCCCCTCCCCCTGGGCACACAGGCGATGAGGTCCTCCATTCAAGGCCCCAGACCCTTTCCTTGCCCCCGTGGGGCTGCTGGAGTTTTGGCTGTGCCTACACCTCCTTCGGAGTGCCGCCCCCGACCTCGAGGCCTGACTGCCACTTGCCGCTGGGGACGGCAGCTCCGATGTAGCACCCGGGAAGGGTCAGCTCCCACTGCAGTGTCCGGGGTGGCACCCCAGGCCCCCACCTGAAGAGCTGATCACAAAGTAGGCTTCTGCTAGAACTCGCCTCATCTGCTCTGCTGCCTCTCAGCCTGCTTCAGGTCTAGTCTTGGATGGGCCTTTGCCATGACCCCAAGGCTGTCTATCTGGCCCTCCACCCGAGGGCCCTGGCATCTGGGGTTGAGGAGAAGGGAGTCTGTCCCAACCATCAAAACCTTTGGCCTTCCCCCCCTCCACCCCCTACATAGGCCTGACAGGCACAGGTCCCATCCCAGACCTAACTCTTGTCCCCCTGGGGGGCCCAGACAAAGCACAGCAGCAGCTCAGAGACAGGAATAGAAATTTCATTAAAATCTATGGACTTTAAAATCCTAGTGGTGCACGGATGGGCAGGGGTGGCTGGCGCACCGTTATTGCTACAGAGAATTAGAGGCGGCGTGGCCAGGACTGTCACTGCACAGAAGACAGACAAACAGACACTGCAGGGGTTGTGGGAAGGAGCTCTGGCTCCATGGTAGGGTGGGGGGCACGCGGGCTGGAGCCATTTGGCATGTGAACAGGGCAGCATAGTTTGGGAAGACTGGGCTTTTAGCCTGGTGGAGGGAGGGCAAGGGGGGTCGTGCAGGGTCCGCTTCCCCAGGGCTCTGGGCTCAAGCTTCCTGCTGGGCAGCCCCCCACCCTTGTCCCCCAGAAACAAGTGCTTTGGGCAGCCTGCTGGGTCACAGGCCTCTACTGACTGGGCCTGACAGCCAGGGCTGGAATGAGGGGCAGAGACCCCGGAGCAGCTGAGTGAGGTGCAGGCAGGCCTGGAAGACAGATTGGGTCTGGGGCAGGGGGAAGGGGGTGGCAACCACAGATAATACAATGTTTACAAAAACAAGTACACAGACAAATAGTTCTGGGCAGCACAGCTTGACAAGTAACACTGCACAGCTCCTAGCCCCTTGCCCACCGTCTTTAGAAAGATCCAAATTTGCCTAGGCAGAGGCTGGGATCTGCTCTGAGGGCAGGAACACTGGCCAGGAGGCTGGAGGACAAAGGAGTGGGGCATGTGGGGGTCCACCACAACCTCAGCTCAGGGCAGAGTTGGGGGCATCAGAGGCCAAGTAAAGCCCAGTGGGGGGCTTCTGGGGACCTGGCCTGAGACCCCTACAAAGTGCTTGGAGCCCCCCAGCACCCTTCCCGTCAGCCCCCACCCCTGCTGCCATCTTGGCCATCCAAAGGACCTGTAAACACTGGGGACACGACCACGAGTGGCCGCGCTAGCAGTGGTGGCCAAGGTGACAGCAGCCACCCTGGCTAGGGCGTGGCAGGGGCAGGTGGTCAACACTGGTCCGGTGCCTGCCCAGTCTCTGTGGTGGGAGCACAGGCTGGGGGTGGGGCACTCCCCCAGCAGCTGTGCTCATATCCGAGAGTCCTGGAGGTGGCTGGAGCCATTGCTGCCCATGATGGGGATCTGGGCCTTGTCTGGGTGCAGCGGCTGGACCTCAAGCCCATCTTCCGGGGAGGGGGCTATGGTGGGGGCATAGCGCCCAGTCCGGTGCTCCAGGAGGGCAGGGCCCCAGTCTCTGCTTGGCTTTGTGGCATTTTTCAAACGCTGAGTGAGAGGCAGGTAGTTGTAGGGGGTCAGGCGAGTTAGAAGGGAGCCCTTAACCCCCATCCACCCTCCACCATCCCCTCTCCCTGCAGGCTGTCCCACCCCTCACCTGGAGGAGAGTGTCCCCATCTGTGCGGCAGAGCTGGAACAGGGCGTAGAGTGGGATGCAAATGACAGAGGACAGAGCCATGAGGAAGCCAATGACCACAGCCCAGCCCGGATACTGGTAGTGGTTGTAGGTGATTGGTTGGTACTGGATCACCGTGAAGATGAGAATGAACTGCGGGGGGTGGGTGGGGGGATAGGAGGGGAGTGAGGCCCACCCAGAGGCCCACCCAGGCCTCAGGCCATCCTGCCTGTCATCCGTGCCCCACCTCCCCACTTTTTGTCCAGTTTCATAAACTAGAAAGAGGCATTTTGGGTAGGGCAGGGGCAGAAGAAGCAGGCATAACCAGGGTTCCAGGGCCTGGTGGGCAGGTAGGCACTGCGGACAGGAGAGACAACTATGTTCACCATGGTTGTGGAACAGCCCGGGAACGATCAAGCTGCTGTCAACTTTGCAAGTCAGTCAGTTCTACTCAAAAGATTTCAGCTACACCCAGCATTTTCTACCTTCTTGTCATTTATTCTGGAGAATCTTCCTCCATACTTCCTTCTGTCAAACCCTATGCAAATGCCACCTCCTTCAAGAAGCCTCTCTGGATTTCCCCCGTCTCCCTTCTCTGAAGAGCCTCTCAATGGCATTTTTCCACCTGCTTCCCTTGGAATTACTTTGTTTAATGTTTCCTATGTTGCCTTTGGAGTCCCTGGGTGGTGAAACTAGTTATTGTGCTTGGCTGCTAACCAAAAGGTGGGAAGTTCGAGTCCACTCAGAGGCGTCTTAGAAGAAAGGCCTAGCGATACACTTCTGAAAAATTAGCCGCTGAAAACCCTATGGAGCACAGTTCTAGTCTCACGCACATGGGATCGCCATGAGTTGGAATCGACTCATTAGCAACTGGAAAAAGAAAAGAAGTTTCCCAAAGACCAGGAGCTCCTGGGACTGCATCAGCTCGGGGTCTCCAGAGCCCAGTCTGGTGCCTGGCACAGGCTCATTTATTAATGTGAACTGCAGGGGTGGGGGTGAGAGTGAGGCCCTTCCTGCTTATGGCTGTGGAGAGAGTGACAGACAGCCCAGGAGGGTACAGAAGCTAGAAATGGTGAGTGTCAGGCTGGGGCTGCCCTAGGGAGATGCTTTGGAAAGAGATGAGCAACATGGTAATAGAACAGCAACAGGAGGAGCTAAAGGCAACAGAAGGATGGGCAGGGGGCACACAGGTCACCCAGAGGGTCTAGGGGAGCACAGGGACAGGGGCATCCTCCTGAGCCTTTCCTTGCATCCTGGAGCTCAGACCCCTCTGGCCTCGCCAGTGTCTGAGTTCTAGAAGACAAGACCCACATTCAACCAGGGGATCCCTCCTGGGAAGCACATAGTGGGAGCTCAGAACACATTTCCTCAATGGAACTGGATTCTGATTTAGGTGTGAACAAACCCCTTTCCCCCTTAGTTGAGCTGACAGAAGGGTGGAGTTTGTAAAAAGAACTTTTCAGAAAAAAAAGAAGTAAAGCCCCCCCCCCCCCAAAATAAAACAGCCCAGAAACAGATATGTCCACAGATCTTGGAGTCCTCATCTTAATACCTCCAGCCGGGACCTGACCGAGGCTGCCCTTGAAGACCCTTCTTGAGCCTAGCTCCTTGCCTGCCTCCTGCCCTGCCTTGGTAGGGCCCCCAGGCCTCTCCCTGTGGCTGCAGCTAACTCAGAGTGTGGGCGCCAAGATGCCCTCAGGGTAGGCTCCAGGCCTCAGCCACATGCCTCTGAGGGCACGGCTCTTGGTGGTGGTGCGGCCGTCATCAGTCTTCCATCACTTACAGGAGACTTATGCTCCTCCTGTTTCAAAGCTGGGCCAGTGGCCAGAGCTGGTGCCTGTGCCAGGCTCGGGGACCATCCCACTCCCCATGTGGTGGAGGCCTCGGCCCTCCGGGGGCCTTCTATTCAGAAACATGAGCCAAAGTGGAAGACAAGTGCTGAGCTCCCTGCAGTACAGAGGCGTCAGGCATAGCAGGAGCGTGACTCTGGACACTGCCCCCACAGCTGGGCTGACCCCTCTGACTCTTCCTTGTGGCGTGATCATCGCAGTATCAACTCTCGCCACCACCACGCCCCCACCCCTCACCACCCCGCCAGCCCTGCCTGGCACATAAAGGAGCAAAATCAGATTGTTTTTAGCCAATGGACGATTCCTTCTTCCAGTAGAACTGTGTCTAGCATAGCGCTGGCACAGCACGCAAGTGCCAAATTGGACTCCCTGCTTCAAATTGAGGCTCTGCCTCTTAGTAATAGCTCTCTTATTAGCTGGGTCACCTTGGGCCAATTACTTAACATCTCTGCGCCTCAGTTTCCTCATCTGTAAATTGAGAATTACAGTTATAGAGTTGTATTAAATCGGTTAACATATGAACAGTGTACATGAAAGCACTGTAGTGCATAGTGAGTACCCAGTAAGTCTTAGCTGTTGTCATCAAAATCCACTTCCTTTCATGGTATAAATTCCCTCCACTAATTCAGCTCCCTGATAGGAGTTTCCTAAACACACACAGAACCAAACACGTCGTCATCAAGTCAATTCTGACTCAGTGACCCTATAGGACAGAGTAGAACTGGCCCATAGGGCTTCCAAGGCTGTAATCTTCATGGGAGCAGACTGCCACAGCTTTCTCCAGTGGAGCAGCTAGCGGGTTCAAACCGCCGAACTTTCGGTTGGCAGCCAAGCACTTTTGGTTTTAGAAGTTTCCCAGCTGCTAAATATTCGTGGATGCCGGGAACTTCTCCTCCCCTCCCAAGCCAGCCCACTCCACTGCCTGGAAGGCTTAAAAAGTTATCCCCGGTCCTGGGCTGCTTCTGGAACACTCAATATTCACACCACAAATCCTGAGCACCTCTTCTTTGAGGGATCTGAGGAGCTCAGCAAGGCAGACAAGCTGACACCAATATCAAAATGATTCCTGAGTCCCCTCTGGGGATGCCCGGAGGGACACCATGAAGAGCCTGAGGGAAGCTGGATAAAGCCTCACTCAGCTGCTGCCAGCCTGCCTTCCCTAACCCGAGGCCAGAGCCTGAGTGGTTCTGAGTCTTCCACACGTTTATCTGACTCTGCCAAGCCTCCCTCAGGCTCCTAGTGGCCAGAGTTGTGGGTGCAGAGCCCCCATGGGGAGCTCTGGTCAGAGGGATGGGTTCCTGCTCTCCCTCCACTGGCTTCCAGGAGAAAGACACGTGGCCAAGGGCAGCAAAGGAAGGGAGGGGCTGCTGAGGAACTTACAAAGATGATAGCTGGTGAGACAAAGCGCCAGCAGATCTGGAAGAAGACGGGGGGTGTGAATCCCAGCATCATCTGGATATCCTGGAAGTAGTTCCGGTGTCCTGCAGAGAGGGGAGTCAGTGTCAGAGTGGGCAGGCCAGTAGCTGGGACACGGCGGAGGCCACAGAGGCTGGGCACTTACCATAGATGTACATGATGGATACACACATGATGCAGGAGATGACAACCAAGGAGAAGCTGGCTGCGTAGTTGTCCATCAGCAGCAGCCAGTAGATGCCTGCCTGTGGGCCAGCGGGCAGCTGAGCTGGGGCTCCCGTGTCCGAGGCTCCCCCACCCCTCATCCCCTCACTCCCTGGTACCTCCAGCCCAGACTTTCACTCAGTTCCTACCTGACTGGTAAGGGGGATGCCCAGCAGGAAGCCAGCCACAGCCACGCCCAAGGTCACATAGGTCTTTTTCTGCAGGATCCACTCATTCCCCACCTCATCCACAATGGCCGTGACCAGTGTCTCTAGGAGGCAGAACTGCAGGATACGGCCGTCAGAGCAGGGGCCCAGCCTCTGCCCCTGCCTCCTCCCTCCCGAGCTGCTGGCCCATGTCCTACACCTCGTACCTGAGTGCCCAGCCCCAGTAAGATGAGCATGAAGAAGAAAAGCAGGGACCAGAGGGGGGAGATGGGCAGCAGTGTGAGGGCCTCAGGGTAAGCCACAAAGGCCAGGCCAGGGCCATGGTCTGCAACGCGGGACACATCCACACCCAGGTGGTTGGCCATGAAGCCGAGGATGGAGAAGATGACGAAGCCAGCATAGACGCTGGTGGCACAGTTGGTGATGCTGATGATAACACTGTCCCTGATGGGGAGGAGAACACATAGAGTTGCTGCCCTCCTCTGATTTGGGCCGAGAGGACATTTGGAGACAGGGAAAGTTCTAGAACAAAGGTGCCCCCACTCCCTTTTTCTGGTGTGTTCTGGGCCTTTTTAAGTGAGCCTGAGGCTCTTGAGTCCTTAAAGACCTCTGGGGTGTCATTGACCTCATCCCTCTTCTCTCTCCTGCCAAAGCTTCTCTCTCCATTCTCCAGTGACTCAATCCAGACCCAGCATTCCCAGAACTTCAAGGCATGAGTGGAAAGGGGAGGGCCCTGGCGGGCCAGGAGGCTGCACTGAAGCCTGGTGGGTCTGGGGAGCCAGTGTCCGGCTGTGGCCAGCGCAGGGAATGGGGCAGTCACAGGGCTGGCAGGGAGAGCCTTACCGGTAACAGTTGTTGTGGAACTTGTTGTAGGACGCCATGGTGATAAGCCCTCCCCAGGCACAGCCCAGCGAGTAGAAGATCTGGGAGGCAGCATCCCCCCACACCTGCAGGGAGAGATGGGCGGCCAGGAGCTGTGGTCAGAGGCGACACCACCCTGGCTCCTCCCTGTCCCCTTCTAGGCCCCCTCCACATCCCACCTTAGCCTCCAGGATCTTGTCCCATTGTGGGGTCAAGTAGTACATGATGCCCGCGAAGGCTCCTTCCAGGGTCACACCACGGACGAACAGGATAGTCAGCACCACATAGGGGAACGTGGCCGTAAAGTATACCACCTGGGTGCAAGACGGGTGACTTGACTTCTCTGGGCTCTTCCCAACCCTGGGTGCCACCTCCCTGGCCCCCTTCACCACCACCCTTCCCACAATGCCAGATAGGGGAGGCAAGATCTTTCTGGTGGGCACAGACCCTGTGGGGGAGGGGTACTTGCTTTCCCTGAAGACTTGACCCCTCGGATGAGGCAGAGGAAGACAACCACCCAGGAGACACCGAGGCAGCCGAGGAGGGGCAA